TATAAATATAAAATAAATAAATATACACAAGAATATTGAGGATAATGGACTGCTCACTTGCAGCACTCTCAGTATTTTGATTGTTTACTGAGTATTTCCTGCAAGATTATGCAGTTTCCTTTTCTTAAATAATTGGATAACTGAGATTAATTTTTAGGTAGGAGCCAGTTGTCCAAGATAATATTTATATGACTTGATATTAGTAGGTTAAGATGATAGCAGAAGATTGTGTATGTTAATTCAAGCATTGTATTTGCATCTATCTGAAGTTTGCTGTTCACAATGTCTCTCCAGTAGACAGGGTGGGAGAGTGATTGGGTTTTACCAAAGGAGCTGAAATCTTTTGTGTCTTGGACTTCATCATAATTGCCCACATCTTCTCACATAATTAGTTACATGAACTTAAATGCACTTATCTCAAAAGGAGGATTTATTTGGCACCTGTAGGATTCAAATATGCAGTTGAATAGTTAGGGATGGTGGTTCCCCTGACTTTGGGGTGCATATAAGAGGTCCTAACTCTATGGTAAGTTATTCAAGGGCTTTAGAAGAGGTTTGAGGGGCTTGAAGGTGATACATCCTATCTCCAGAGACAGAAGTTGTTGTCATTATTGCAAGAAGTATCTAAGCCCAGACATGCCATTTTGGGTTCATTTATGTAGCAGCTGTGCTTGTACCATAGTTCTGAAACTTCTAGCCTACGAGTTCCAGAGTTTATGGCATTACCTCCCATTTTGTCTTTGCTATTCTGAGGCTTTTAACTAACAAGTTTGTAGCACAAGACTGAGCGCCAGGAACGTAGAGCCACGCTGAAAGTTGTGGTTGTACCTCTCTAGCTCTGATGCTTGTTGTGGTGTTTGTCAAATAGTAGTGGCATAATTGTCAAGATAATTTTACTGTATATTAGCAGAAAACACATTGAGATTTCACAGTCTTCCCAGTAGCCCCGTGGCACTGCTACTTCTGTTAAGGAGCTTCTAAAAACGAAACCATATATGACATGGATTTTTGCTGAGTACTCTTGTCAAATGAGAACAGTCCATTTTACATGTTAGAGATAATCAAGTAGTCTGTTTCTAATAGTGTTAGTCGACAAAGAGAATATTCATCCAATCCTATGAATAGTTTTGCATTTGGCTGCATCTAAAAATAAATGTTTTGTTTCAAAACCTTTTACAGTAAAGACATTTAAGCCACACAGTCATATATTGTACAATGACTCACAGGGTATCCTTGCTCCCCTGGTGCAAAGTCAAAAACAATTTGTGTCCCTAACTGGTAACTGAGCACAGTCACCCTCCAGGGTGTGTTCAACAACCTTTTGAAAGAAGATCTCTACCATGCTGTCAGAGGTGCAGGGAGAATAGTATGAGGTGACTAATGTGTTCCCTGCCTGGGTGGAATCCTGATAAGTTTATTACATTTCCAGCTAAAGAGCTACGTTTCCACTGAGTGATTCAGAGATACCCTAAACTGTGAAAATGAGCCTTATGTGATCGAAATTGAGTTAGTTGTGCAGGTTAGAAAAACCCGTATCTCTTTGTCTTGATGTAAATCAAGCACAGAATAGGATGGTCTTACCAAAGCAGACCAAAGGAGGGGAGCAAAAGTACAGGGAAATAAATTAATCCCTTTGCCTCAGTGAAGTCAGAAGGAGAGGGAGCCACCTTATCCAACAGCAGTGGAGCTTGGGCTCTAATGGAAAGGAAATAATGCGTCTAATTATCTTCTAATGCTGATTGTAGTGCATCTGCATGAAGTGAGTGAGTGTCATCACCCAGCATGGCATTTATGCACGTTCAGGCACCATTAGTTATACAGTCATTAGCGTCCGGACATGGGGAGAGAGAAAAGATGGAAATGTTGAAATATAGCAAATCAGTGAAACAGTGGTAAAATACTTGCTTCAAAAACTAGATGCCCCTTTTCAGATGCTTGTCATTGTTTGGCAGACTCATAATTTCATGTTATTGTAATAGTTTTTAATGTGTTCCTCAATAAGTACATAGCACAGATTCATATCAGACCTCTGCTTACATGCTAATTATGAGATAAAAAGCAGCAAATGCTACCAGGCAGTCTATACAAGTTTCACAAAAACCTGTATAAAAATAAATATTCCTACTTTCACTGTCATAAATTTGGCTGCTGTGTGTTGAGCTGAAGAACTGGAAACCTTCACCGAATGCTGTCCTTGTAGGCAGGATGTTGTAAGAGAAATCATCAGTAGATTGCAGAGTGGTTGTTACCTGAGCTGTATGAAAGAACCAAACCATATAAAAAAACTAAAGAAAATCTCACTTTATGTGGCTAGATTTGAAAACAGTTAGAGGACTTCATTAAAATTTTAGCCAACAGAATTCGTAGCTTGAAACACATATAGAACAGAAAACCTTTCTGATTCTTAAGTTCTTGTTCAAGTGATGTTTATTTAGAGTCTGACTGGGATCCTTAGCATGTGCCCCAGTGGAAATGACAATGAATAAGTATGTGAAATACTGTATTACTCCAGCTTCAGCTATCAGTGAAAAGATTTGATACTGCTGATAGCAGCTGTCAGTGAATGCAGTGAGGTGGCTGAAAGTTATGCCTGTAGCTAAGCACCTGGTTGAACTGATTGACAGAAAGATTGGATTGCAGTGACAGTCATGATAAGGCACCCAGTTCTGAGCATCTGGGTCCCAAGTGTAGAAAATTTGGCTTCATGCATAAGGAAATTGTGGCATAGTCTATATTTATCTTTATGTACTTGGTCGGTTATGATTAAAATTGAAGAGTATTTTCCAAGCCAGGAACACACTTTCCCTTGAAAATGACAGCAGGCTAGAACTGAATTCCACTCACATCGTAGCTGAAATGGTGGAATCTTGCTGGGGCTCCCTGACAGGGTCTGCAACACGCTGGGTGTTCCCCACAGTACTGCTGCCTTCAGAGGTCCACAGTTTCCGTTCAGATGCTCGAAGGCTTTCCCGAGTGTCTGAAAACTCCAGGCAGACCTGCTAGTGCTGTGTCAACCCTCTCCTCGCCTGCCTCACCAGATCAAGGTCATGGTAGAGTTTTGCACTGCTTGTTTTCTCTAGGCCATTAAAAGCCAAACATCACCGGTGCAGTGCTGAACTCCCCAGTGAAACTGGTGCCTGCTTTGGTTCTGGGGGGTGGGTAGTCTGTTTCCCATCCCCTTTCCCATTGGTATTAAACAGAGATCACATGGGAAAAGTCTTAGCACAGAAGAGTTTTCTCTTTTGAAGAATTATTGATATTGTTTCATATAAATTGAGACTGCCCTTTAGTGGGATTTCCTAGGGTTTTGATGGGAATTTTGTTAGACTGTACTACATGTTTTTGGTATTTATATGTTCGTCTTTACATCTCATTTACCACACAATTTTTTCTCTTAGACAAACACAGTCTTGCTGCCTCAGAAGCCATTGTCCTGGTGCCTACACCACACTGACGCCGTTAATCCCACCGTCTTCCTTCATGCATGTCTTGCCAGCACCTTCCAGCTGCCTTAAAACCTTGCCTCACCTTATACATCATTGCACTTCTAATCAAAATATGGTCTTATATACTGTCACAAAGTTATGCTTCCATGCCTGCATTTAAACAGTCAACCTTTATGCTTTGTCACAGGCTGCTCCTTGTGCTTGAAAGCCACCCCACAGTGTCACAATGCTATCTCTGTTATTAATAGTTCTTAAGACAGTTTTATCAACTGGTTTTATTCAATGGGCTTACTCATGGTTGTTCTTCAAAGCTCTTCATATAGTTATATTTATCTCAATGTCCGTAAAATGAAAGACCTGATTAACAGGGAAGCTGCCAATTTATTGAGGCTATGTCCTCTCGTACTAACTGATGTTTTCTGATCATTCCTGGAATTTGTGTGTCTGTCCCCTTACATAGGTGAAAATTTCTCTGAGGTAATATGATCTTTTAGTTCTGCTTTTGTGTCAAGTATATTCTTCCAATAAGCTACAGCTAAAATATTTTTGTCACATTCATGTTTGCAAATCTTTTTTTAATCCTCCCTTCTCTTTACAGAGACATCAGCAAGAATCAAATATCTGACATTGCTCCTGATGCATTCAAAGGCTTGAAATCTCTCATTTCATTGTAAGTAGAAAATAGAACTGAATGGGCATTTGGGGAGAGCTTGCGTGTAAGAGAAATAAAAATGATAATGTGCTGTCTGGGAGAACTTATGTTTCTGTGTGCAATTGCCAGCTTGTGTGAAGCATCTGATCTTTTGTAAATGAAAAATTGGTCATGAAGGTTAGAAGGAGGAACTGTTTACACATCTCTAGTAAGTTGTTTTATAGATGAACACCCCTGGGGTTACTGACTTGTTCACTTCTTAGTGAACATGTGCACCTGCAGGCTAATCCATGCCCCCCAGCTCATCATGGCACAGAAAAACCTCGTCATAGCTTAGACAGTGTTTGGTGGTATTAATCAGTGAGGAGTTAGGGGAAATACTTCCATGCTGAGTTTTTCTTTATTAAAGAACTGAGATTGCACTCTCCTGTGAGTTTTTTGGTTTATTTGTTTTTTAGGTTGGTTTTTGGTTTTGTTTTGTTTTGTTTTTTTTTTTTTTCAAACCAGTTAGGGAAGAACCTAAGCTCTTAAGAAAATGTTTATATTTCTTAGTTGTAATTACTACTTTATTAAGCTGGAAAGGGACGAAAATATGACTTCATACAGAAGATAAAAGGAAGGTAGGATCTCTGGACAACCATTTGTTTCTCTATAGAACACAGAAACTGTTTTAGCACCAACTTGAATATAAATGCAGCTATGGTTCAACCTATCTACCCACAACACTATTAAAACAGTGGAGCTTTTGATGGTCAAAAGGAGCAATACCAGGTCAGAAGCTGCATATGGAGAATGAACTAGAATAGAGTGTTAGAAAGAGCCCCAGGTTGAGAGAAAAGGATAAGCTCAGCTGGAATTATATTCATATAACACAGCTTGATTTTTATGAATGTGGTTTATTTCTAAAAGCTGCCATAATTTTATTCTCTGAATTCTGGGTAATTCTAGCAACCTATAGAACTTGTTGACTAGTGCTAATATTAGAAGGTTATTCAGTACTAAACTTATATGTTGCAGTAAACTTCTGAGCCAGAATGCTCAGAGGATGGGTCTTTTTTTGTGCCCTGAATCCAGCTGGGAGAATGCCAGAAATATATATTAAGTGTTGCTAGCCTTTGTTGAATAGTTAGGGCAGTGTTATTCAACATGCTGTGGAAATGGTCAAATCCCTCAATGCTGTCTGGAAATGATTCAGTAAGAGAATGACATTTACTGAACACTACAGTTTTGGCTTAGCATGGAACTACTGCTGATGCTGCAATGCTACAGCTTTCTGGTCTTGGCAAACCTCCTGGCTAGGAGCAAGCGGGACAGGCAAGACATTTCTACTGGGATTGACTTCCCAACTCAGAAGTTATTCAGCTTTAACTATAACTAATTCTGATATCCCCAGGTGGCCTCAGGAGTTGGACCGAACACATCAGTGTGGACAGAGAGGAAATGAGAATATAAACTGGGCAGGAATTTATGGGGTTTTGACCTGCACACAGAAGCAAGTGAAATTACTGTGTATTCTCTGTCCAGTCATCCAAAATGACATTTTAAGTAAATGATGTTTAAATATGTTTGTGTCCAAGTGCGTAAAATAGTGCTTCAGTTAATGCTGGGAGGCTACAGGGGGGATGAGAGAGCACAGAGAGAGGAGATGCAGCACAGAAAGAACTATAGAAAGGGAACTGCCTCTGAGCAGTCTTTCCTTTGTTCAGTGTTTGTCTCTGCCTCAGTTTCCTTCTGCTGCAGCCACATAAAGCTGTTGTAACACACAGTCTGTTCCTCCTCTCTTTGGCAGACTGGTTTCTAGGACGGTATTGACTCCAGCCTTGAAATTGTAAGCCTCCTTCTCTAGCTTCACTTGTCCGTTGTGCTTGCCATTGGCTTTTACTTTCTTTTGAAAGGTTTTATTTTTGGTGTTCATTGCAGGTAGGTCTTACAAATGTGTCCCCTGTGGCTGATAGGCAAGAGTTGGTTCCCTGATCTTTCATGACCTGTCACCCAGACCTCTGGCAGGTTCTTCCCTGCTGGTCTCTTCTGCAGTTGTTTCAGTTTCTGAGCCCTAGATATCTTTATGGAGCAAGATTATCTGCTGTTCGGCAGAGTCTCGGTTTCTATGAAGAAACCTCCTCCAGGTTTCTACTTCTGAGAAGTAGCGGATCTTCTTTTGTCTGATCTCTGCTATAGCCACCAGTCCAGTTGTGTGAGCTGCAGAAAGACAAGTAAGTGCAAGAGAAGATGTCTCCTTTGAAGTGCCAGCCCTCCCATTGAAACTGTCAAAGGGGAAAGAGCAAGGAGGTAGAAATGAAGACAGTTTGCTTACTAGTGTTTTCTCTTCTAAGTGGCTCAGTCTTTTTGGTGCCTGAGGCTCCAGTAACTTAGTCAGCTGCATGCCCTGAAGGAATGCTCCTCCGCACACAGTGCTTTGGCTCAGCTGAGGGTAACTTTTATTTTTCGTATATGTAAGTCAAATCCGATTGGTGGCATACATTTTAATGAGGCACCATTGCGGTTTAATCTGTGCACAGAGCAGCTGGACTTTTCAGCTAGCTGAGTTAAAACAAGAATAAAGGAGGGGAACATATTAATGCACAAATTAAAGTAAGCAACTTTGTTTCCCTTAAGAATGAAGCACTGCTGTACTGCCTAAAATCTTTGCTTTATTCCCCTGCATTATTCCCATTTTCTGCTCCTCCCTTTACTCCATGCTTGCCTGCAATTGCAGTGCTCCCAATGGGTCTAGGAGAGTGAAAGTGCTTATCTGGAAGAGAGCCAACGTTGTTAGTCTAGCTGGCTAATGGACGCCTATATATAGTGGGTTGCTACTCTACTTTCTTCTGAAGTTAACTTAGGTTAGTGTTTCCGGCAGATCTGCTTCTCAGAGTACTCTGCCTATTGTACCTATGTAGCGATGGAAGAAAAAATGGTGTATTATAGTTTTCAAAACACAGGAATGTATATTACAGAAGCAGTTTTCCCAAAAATGTATAAAACTTAAATCTTTTAAAAGTGCTAAGTGATCCATATGCTAGCAGGTCGTAAGTTTTTATTTTAAATCTATATATTTTCTCTAACAAGAAATCCACCTATGGGAGTCAAACAGGTCACAAAATCTTAACATTTTAAATAAGCCATTTCTACCTTAGGATTTTTCTGCATTTAGCAAAAGAAGGGCAAGCTTGTTCTTGTAAGGACTGAAGACTTCTCCATTCCCCACACACAGGGGAAAAAAAAAAAATTGTTTTCTCCATGCCTATTTTTCAGTGGGATTTTGTTCCCTGTTCATATAATGATTGTGTGGAACAAGGAATTTCTACTCTGTTTTTCTTTTTTTTTACCCCTGGTTGTGACAACAATTAAGGAACCAGAATAATTCGTCTTTAAGAATGTTTTTTTCTTCTTCCCAGAGTCTGCCTTTTCCTTTTCCTTTGTGTCACATGCGAGTGGCACCGAGAGTCACTGGTCAGCTCTGGTTCTCTATGTTCTGTGGATTCAATTCTGTTACTCTGTCTGAAGTTCCCTTTCAATATTTAGGCAATAGGGCGTAGATCCTTAGCATATGCTTGGTATGAACTTCAGACGTGTTTATGGACAAAACTGAAGATACAGAGTTATGGAGAGCTTGTTACAAAGCTGTTGGTGAGAATGGAGGGTGTTGTGGGTCAAGGCCTGAGAAAAAGGGTCATCAGTCCTAAAGATGCTACTCTGGGATTTGGAAGGAAGAAGTTACATTGCATCATTTCAGTGACAGCTGTTGGACAAATAAACTGCTTGTCTGTACCGAAGTGTCTCCTCTTGAGCAAGTGGATGTGTTTTTCTGTCTTAAAGAGATGATACAAGGGTGTATACATTGAAGGCTGTGAGATGTAATGATACTGCAGAACTTGGGACCATATGAAATATCCAAGATGAGACACAAATAATTTGAATTATTTGAATCAAAAAAACCAGTAAGCAGCACAGATGTGAGTCGTGGTGATGTAGCCATGGCTTTTGTGTTGGAGGGATTAGTCTTGCCATCTGTTACTTCCATCCAAACAGGAGAGCAAATAGTACCCTTGCACTGAGAAGTGTGGCAAAATTGGTTGATTGCAAAAGAATGTGTTATCTTAACTTTAAGCAGAAGTTTGAGAAATGCTCTGTTTGTAGTACGCTGTGTTTGTGTTACATAGAGTTGCAGTTTGCTGGAGTTGGAGTGGTTAATAACTCAGTGCAGAACATGGGGGCTAAGTTATGAATAGTCTCATGTTTCAAGATTGCTGCACACACTTTCTGAAGTAAATTAATTTTTGATTTAATCAACTCAAAACCTGTCTAATATTGGTGAGGGGATTGTATCAGCATTTGGTTATCGCTAATACTATCAAAGATAAATGTTATTCTTGGGGTCAGTAAGCTTCCCACAAATGTAGGTTTGGAAGGCTATATCCAGACTGTCTGGGGACATTTTATGAGATGTGACAAAATAGTCTAAAGCCTTCAGCGTGTTAAATGAATAAATTTTAGACCACTGCAGAGGGAGAATTCCTTTGCTTTTGTTCATATACTGAATTAAGCTAGTGAGCAATTTAAAAGCTTAGATCAGCCTGGGCACAAAGACAGGAGACAGCTTAGATTTTGACATAGCAGTTCCATTTAGACCATCATCTCCTGGGTGATGATGTATGTGGTGTCATTCATGGTGATTTGAAATCTGCAATAAAACACTGTCTATTGCAATAACTGCCAAACTTATTTTAAGGTAACAAATTGCTTTGGGTAGTTTTACTGTGATTTATTTAGCCTAACTTGTTCCGAAAAGTATGACATATAGTGCAGGGGAAAAAAAATTACATGTCTAAGTTTCTTTAAAATATTATAAATTTATTGCTGTTTTTACCCCTATCAATTCCTCCTCTTTTGAAAACTTGAATTCTTATTGAGCCTGTGCCATTGTATGTAGCTTGGGAAATATAATTCTTCCTAGCAAGAATTGTTTTCACAGTCTGAAGGAAAGTTAAAAGCATTCTGAGGACTGAAAAAGACATTGCATAAAGTCAAAACTTGACACTTCAGTAAGAATGTTTCAGCCAAGCCAAAATAAAGGAACACTTACCCCAGACCATATGGTTTCCAGCTAAGGGATTCTGTGCTAGGCTTTCATACCCCCAAAAAGTTTTATGTCACCTTCCAGGGAAAAATCTCTATATTCTGCGACCTGACTTAACAAAGCAGCTAAATTGCAACTACATTTGCAAGTAAGGTAGGCCAATGGACTGTAAAATAAAGACAACACAGCAATTATTGTTTCACACCCTTAGAAGGTGATATGCTAAACTTCAGTGCATAAGAAAGGCCATGTGTCAGTAAAGTCTTTGCAAATTCCTTGGTTTTAAAATTGTTCAAAAAGTCAGAAAGTCTAGAGACTGTGAAGAATCAGTGAGACTTTCATGTCTCTGAAGGTTTGTTACACGCTTAATTACATTCTCACCCAAGTAATATACTTGTTGCTGTGGGTGCTTCCAATGCGGTTTTTCTCTGTTATGTCCCAAAATTTAAATGAGTCCGTGCAATGACTATTTTCACTGTTTAATCTTTATTTTTAACTGCGTAGAAGATCACTTGGATTAATCTGCAAAACTTGAAGTTTAGTAGTAACAATTAAATGTTTAACTGGAAGTCTAATATTTAATTAGAATAGATACATTTGGGGGTGATATTAAAATATGATGCCAGAATCAGTCTGAAGAAACGTAACACCTCATTATGAGTTTTATGTGTTTGTGTAATTTCTTATTGCAGATCCACAATAACTCTTCAGCTGGATAGGGTTCTTCTTCCAGGGATCTCCCCCAGTGCTTGCCAGGGGTCTGTGCTTTGTCTGTGTTGTCTTTCCCATTGTTTGTAAGGTTGATGGCAGCCTGAAAAGTACTGCAAGTTGTGAGCCAATCTACCAGGTACTTCTGAAGAAATGCAGCTTGCGGTTTCTGGCCATGCTGAAAGCATTTAGCTGTGAACTGGCAAGCTGATGGCTTTATGCGCCGCTAGGAATATAGCCCTCAGATGGTTCAGCTGCACCTGTGCAACTTGCTGGTGTTAGAAACCTGCCTGCAAAAGATTTGAGAAAAGTTTGTTTGGGTTAAAAATACAGTGAATGATTCCTCACAGTGGTCATTCTGGTATTAGATGTACCTGCCTTGTGGAAAAGACAAGAAAACGATTCATGCACTGGCAATTATGATGGGTTTGCACATCTTTCTGACTGTTTTTTTTAATTCAGACTGGTTTTGATCTTTGTAAAAGAGACTCCCACGTGTGGTGAGAAGAGAAGGAAAGGAACAGTAAGAAAAAGGATACCTGATACCTGTTGTCTCTCAGTCAGTTTTGGTTTAGTATCTAGTTGCTACTTTTAAGATCAGCATTGTGAATGTAGAATTAAGCTAAAGCTCGCTTACTCTTTCTCTCAAAATATGCATCATGTTTAGGGTAATATTTTCTCCACCTGACCGTAAATGGTATTTGTCAGACCTGTGGCTAACTTGGTCTCCCAGCAAAATTGAGAAGCAAATGGACAATCAGGAGCACACAATAAAAATTTTAGTAATTTTTTTGTGTTTTAATAAGTGTTGTTCTGATTAACTGATTCACTGTCTATTGGCAGCAATTACTGAGTTGATTTTATTTTTATTACATGTTAACTTTATTAGTGTATTTTTAATAAAAAATATTTTGGGTCTAAAATTTAAGGTGCTGGGGGGTAGAGGGAGGGTTGTATTCCTATGCCAAGCTTGCACTGTGGCCAGGACACCTGCACGTCCTGCAACATATGTGAGGGATGCGAGTGAACATACATTTTTAGAACTTGTAATGCCATAGGCAAATCTCCTAAAATTGATCTGTTGGAGATTTCAATGAAGTTCTTGAATTGACTTGACTGAGTTTCCTGTTATATGGCCTTTTGAAATTATTTTTTTTGTGTAAGGTTTTTGTTTGGTTTCTTTTTTCCCCCAAAGCTGCTGTTCTGGAAACAGTGCGGTGGATGCTAGTGAGATGGGCAGAATGACAGGACGTAGGGGAAAGTGGCTGCAATAATGGAGAGCACCTAACCTGGCCAGGCTTGCCTGCAGCCTAACTCATTCAACTGCAGTTGGTACATGCAGAAAAAAAGCATGTTGGATCAAGAACCTGACCGATATTCGTATTTGTTTGTATGAGTATGCTTTCCTGTCTTAAACAGGAAAAAATAGAACTCTGAGGAAAGCAAAAGTTTCTGTGCTTTTGATTAGAGTAAGTGGAAATGAGGAACTTAAGAAATGAGATGCAATGCATTATGCATCTCCCCTCCTCTTTGCTTCTTTCTGTAGGACCGTTTGACTTCAGCTCTGGCGTGGCAGGCAGACAATGGCATTAGCTAATTTGGCGCTGTGCAGTGCTGAACATGAATATGAATTAGAGACAAGTGCCTGAGCTCTCATACTGACTTTTGTTTAGCTGTTAATTTGTTTGAATGTTAATGTGCCACATGCACATAAGCCCAATTAGGTTTGAAAATGCTTATTTTCTTTTCATGTCTTCTAAAAATTGAAGCTTTGTTTTATTTTATAAGCTATTTCAATCTGTTTTATCTCACTCAAAATAGTAAAGAGGATGTATAAACACATCCAAGGTTTAAAATTCAGTGGAATGCTGCATTCTATGACCTTCTGCTCTTAAATTAAAAGAAAATGAAAAATTAATAAGAGTCTTATTTTGATATTTGCATTTAGCAGTACCATAACTGACAACTGCACTGAGCGTGGGTGTTGAGATTTCTTTAAGGTTTTACTTTACATAAGTGTTTTTACTTCTATAGCCAGAATAACCCTTAGTCCTGAGTGGGGATTTTTCTGCTTCTTTCCATGGACATTTTGTCCAGTTTAGCTTCTGAACATGTTCTTATATGTTATAGCATTGTGCATTACTGATCAGTGTTGATGATCCAGCTACTCCACAAAAGTGGAAGGAAGATGTTCATCTAACATCACAGAGCTTATAATCTAAATTTTGTATACAGATGATGCACTTTCTGTATAAAGAAATGTTGCTCAGAAAGAGTGGAAACTGAAATAGGGGTTTGCTTTTGCTTCCTGATACAGGTGCTCACATCAGTTACAAGAAGTCTGTGAGTCAGCCGTTTGGCTGTTGGTTTAGAGCCCAGTGAAATTCAGTGACTTCAAGATTATCCCATATTTTGAAACTGCCAGCTAATGGGCCTGCTAGACCTTTCAAAGTTCAGCCATTGTTTCTGTCCAGTTTTGGGTAGAGTTATAAAAATCTATGTACATTGCATGAAATTTTGTTGAAGTAGGAAATTGTGTGTGTCTTCTGAAGATGAAATTAGGAAACAATCAGAAAATTTTGTAGTACTAGCGTGCTTCACTCCCAAAAACCACTTAACTGTAGCAGCATGTTAAAAGCCAAACTCCTGACTCTGCAATAGATAAAGACAAATAATGTTACATTTGTTTAGGGAAAATATAATGTTAGATAATCATTAATTTCTTGGATAGCGGTTCAGTTCCTGCTAAACTACAAAAGTAGTGAAAAATGAAGTTTCAAGTTTAGATTTTCATATCTAAGTGGTGTTATTATATTTAGATTCATTTTATTTTGGCTCAGAAATGAGCTGATCTGGGAACTCTCCCACAGAGGTAATATACTTCCAATAACTGATGAAGAGAAAACTGAAGCAGCAATACTCTGGGAGGGCCAGAGGGCATTGTAAATGGTCTGTCATGCTACGTGTTTGTGTTTCAGTATGTTCAACTCACCATCATATTTTAAATGTTGAAAGACAGGGTAAGCCAGAATTTCAGCCAGCATCCAAGCCTCACATGGCTCTTTGATTAATTGCTAGCATATTATTCCACATTAAAAAGTTAGGGAATTAGCCAGCTTAGTGACACCTAAGCAACAAAGTTTTGGCATGAGCTGGTTTATAACCATTTACCATGTCCTATGTAGAGCATAGAAATTACGTAAATACTGCTTTTCCAATTGAAGTCTCTTAAAATGTTTAGGTAAGGTGTAAAATTTTCAGAGGGAGCCTAATCTTTTTCACTTTTACCAAGACCCGTACAAGCTCTTAACTCACTTTCTGGTTCTGGCAAATTTTATCATCTTGCGGAAAGGACATGAGTAAATACTTCGGCCATGATTGAAATTCAGGTGTTCCTGTCATATATAATTTTTCTCTGATACCTAGGTAACACATCTTAGCATGACAGTAGCTTTGTCTGTTTTTCCCTTTAGTTCAATTTCTGAGGATACTATATGTGCATTTTTCCATTAAAAAAAGGAAATATTTTTAATATTAAAACTGAATCATGGATAGCAGGTCATATATATTTGTGGTCGAATAAATATATACAGTGACTCTCATTTGTGTTATTAAATCTTTACTGATTTTTATAACTGAACTATACCTAAATTATTTTTGCGTTTCTGAAATAGATGTCTATTTCCAGCTCGGGTTAAATTTATTTATGTTAGCTAGTTGAAATGGTAACGGCAGGTGATGAAGCCATAGTATTTTATCCAATGATGCCTGTGTCACATTTCATGTCAAATATTATATCTTAAGAGATTCAGTTATATGAAATTTTATCTACAACCAGCTTGTGCTCCCTGGCTTTTAAATTCAGTGTTACTGAGCAGAATTCTAGGTTTTTGCATCAGACAGTGTGCCTTTTAATGGTTAAAATATTTCTAAAAAGGGTAGAAAAAAATCCCTCAACAGAATGAAAAATATTTCAGATACAGTTTTTGGATGATGTCCAGTTTCTACATTAAAAATGCTTTCCAACACCAGACAAAGCCTGAATCATAACGACTCATTTAATACCATGTGCTCTCTGAAAAGAAAATGAGATCAGTCATGAAATGAAATGCCCACAGATCCTGGGCATGGTGCACAAGATCAATAAAGAAGGTAATGCAGAGATGTGGGAGGACACTAAACTGGTCTGTTACTTAAGATTTATTTTGTCTTCTTGAATCTTTCAGAGTGCTCTATGGAAACAAGATCACAGAGATTCCCCAGGGCCTTTTTGATGATCTTGTGTCTCTGCAGCTGCTGTGAGTATGATCCCTTCCTTTTCTTTATTTTACACACTAGATTGATTTACTGTTTTTTCAGCTTCTGACGTTAATATAATCACCTTTTCCACTGAAAACTCACTGGGATGTGCTAGTCTGTTGTTTCTGTGTCAGACAAGAGGGAGGCATGGGCTGAAAAAAAAGGGGAAGGTGCCAACAGTTTTATAGCACAGTGTGTATAATGGGTAATAGACACAGAGGACTGAAGTGTGGGGAGGAAATGAGAGACGCGGTGAAGTCCAAGAAAGGAAATTCGGTCACCGGCTGATGTGCAGGTTGGGATGCCATCTGATTGTTTTCACACATTTAGCATTTGTGGTTGAATATCTAGATCCTTGAGGGCTACTGTGTTGCAAGTACCTGCACATGCAGGCAAAATGGCAATATGAAAGCGATTACTGTTGTGAGCCGTGCTCAGTTCCATGTTCTTATTATGCCAAATATGGCTTAGTTGCAAGAAAAATAATTTCAGAATATATTGTGTATTTGAGTATTTTATGCCATGTGTGATTTAACATCCAGTCATAATCAGGGGTAAGATATATATCATACGCTTTTCAGTATTTGTTAATGTAGCCTAAAAAATTCCCTAAGCCAAATGTGAAATTGCAAATTTCACTCACTCTTGTCTCCGTAATCACATTGGGAACCAGTAACTCCTTCAAAGAGAAGGAAATCAGCTACTATTTTAGGCAGTCAGTAGAGGGAGCGGAAGTGGAGTGTGTTTAATATGTATTCCTAACGTTCTGATTACCATCCTGGATGATGCACTCAAAAAGTAAAGGTGATAGATGATAAATTAATCAGTTTGCTTTATATAACACACAACTCTCCACCCCCAAACAATAAATTATATAAAATATAAAATAAAATGTGGCCTTTAGACATGTTATTTTAAGACTTTCTGACCGTCTTGACATAACCAGAAAAGAATATCCAAAAAGTTCATTATTACCGTTGAATGTGTCACTCTGTCTGCAGTCTTTGCTGCACTTGTATGCTATATAAAAATAGTCACAGATTTAGATTAGAAATCCGTGAGCAAAGCCAAAGACCCTAAATAGGAGATAGTTGAAATTGTTCTGTATATTAAGTGAAGGAGTACTTAGATTTGTAGTTTTTCCATAAGATCTTAATAGCAAACATGGACCCCACCCTATTCTAGAGAAGGACAAGCAAGAGGTTTGGTTATAACAGTCCTTGAGCTGCGACGGTTCATCTCCTCCTGCCCACAGCCAATTATTTTGTCTTCGCCTTTTGCACATACTTTTTCTGGCAGCTCCTTTCCTCTCCTGTCCCCTGCCTCACAAGTTTGTTAGTACTTCAGTGACTTCACGGCCAGCCTGTGCTGTAAGAGACGACTGTCTTTAGGGGGGAGGTAGTTTGCCATGTGTGAGAACAGTAAGCACGGAAGCGTGTAGAAGCTGGGACTCAGTACATGTTGATACAACTGGCATGTTAGTCATTGTCAGACTCAGGTTGTGTTCACTACAGTGAAGATGCCAGCAAAGGGACAGCTAAAACTTCGCTTGTCACTTTCACCTCTGAGAAAGAAACTATATTTTAGAAAATCTGAGCTTTATCATAGTCCTTCCCCCCCAGATATTTTATGGTTCCAGGTTTGAAGTGACACAGAGTTGCTCTGTCTAACCCTGCACGCTTTGCAGATTGGATCTTTCCTAGTAGGGAAAAAAAATACCACTCAATACACGGCTCACAGTATCCCATAAAAATGTGGGTCTAGAACTTTTGCATAAAGCAGTAAGCAGGTTTCAACGCCTTTACACTGTAGTCCTTGTGTGCATGTAGTGCAGGCTTTCAACAAGTTACGAGTTTAAGCCCAGATGCAGTAATTTTCCAGTCTGAATTAGCCCAAGTGATGCCTTTTTCTTAAGGGGACAAAATCTGTATGTCAGACAACCATTAAAAGGTGTTGTACCTCAACCATTTAAACATTCTCAAGCTGAGCAGATGCAAGTAGGTTGTCCTGTTATGGGATTCCCAGAGTATTGTGGCTCTGGGGCCTTTCAGAGTGGTCTTGAAAGTGTTTGAATGTAAAGTAGCTTTTGGCCAGGAGAGCACTGAATGAGCCTGCTTTAAATGCAAACAAATGTCCGCACACTTCTGTGATTGTGGCTTTGAAGCAGCTAGTATGGGATTTCTTGTAGTATTTTAATGGATACCAAAAAAATAAATGGCATTTGTTGTTTTTAGACCTGCTGTTGAACAGTTGGAAGAGTGCCCTGTGATTAGGTCTAATTTGGTGTTCAGTGGGCTCTAGATTGGATTTCTTCTTATTAGTCTGGAGACACACTGATAAGAATGCTCTGATTAAGGTATCCTGGTAGCCAGTATAATTTCCTAAGCTTGAGCTGGAGCATTTTTTTTAAATATACTGGCATTATGGTAAAGGAGGACACAACCAGGAAAAGGGAGTTGTTGTGGGTCCTGTATAAAATCGTTGAAATTGTATTTAGAAGGAAAAAATAATTACTGTGCAATTGCAGAGCAGGTAATATTGTTATTTATGGGTTTGGATAAGACTTATCAGAGTTCCTTAAAAATGTCATTATCCTTCTGTTTAAATACACTGTCACAATATAGGCCCAGATTATCCCACTTTTATTCTGGCAGAATTGTTTTGTGTAAGTGCCTTACGTCTGGAGACAGTACCACCAATGTCAGAAATGCTGTAGCTGGGCAAAGTAATGCTCAGCTCAGGCATGACAGCGTCTTAAACCACCGCATTTGACTTTGGTGTATGGGAAATGAAGAGTTCAGAACAAGTTTCAGACCACCTGGCTAGCATTAGAATTCTGTGTTTCTGTCATATAAGACGGGTGGGTAAGCCAATATTATATTATATTTGGCAAGAAAATAACAAGGCATGATTGGATAATAAGGGGGGGCTTGTTGTGGTTTGTTTTTTTTTTTAAACCCTATTGGTTTAATTTGAAATGTTGCTTCTGAAGTCTTCATTGTAATTAGCTATCCTAAGCAGTTAACATTCCCCATATAATCACAATTGGATTTCTGTTAATTTGCTGATTTCACAAATCTTATGTCTTCCTAAATATGTGTTTGTAACCAGCACAGCAGCAAATATTATTGTAGAAGTCTAACTACTCATCTGTTCTGTGCAACAGAAGCTTTTCTTGGACCATGTCATTTTCCTTACCCTGTTTGAAGTTACCAGGAGAAAGGAAAGCTACTGTGGATACTGTACCCTATCCTCATACATTCTTCTCTTCAACAGGCTGAATCAAGTGTCTTCTAAGAATTTTAGGTCAAGTTGCATTTTAGAGAGCTATGCAGTTTTCCAGAAAGGGATAACTGGAATCTGTTTGTTTTTTGGTTTTTTTGGGTTTTTTTAAAGTAAACTGAAACATTCATTTCGTTGAGGCAACAATCAATCCAAGCTGTGAAATAGTGTTTGATTCGTTATTGTTGTTTTGTAACTTGCATTTCAATATCAAAAGAATGGGAAGGATTTCAGTTTAAGGTGGAAGTTTTCAAGTAATGATTATCTGTGGCCGGTTTGAACTCCTGTCCAGGAGGCCTTACACTAACCTTGTTCTGTCCAGAAACTGGCATAGATTTAAACATCCTTCTCACCTGTCTTTCAGTTTTCCTGGAATGTGAACAAGCTCTTTCAGGAGCCCTTGAGTTTGCCAAACTGTCTGCCAGTCACTGCACAGGGGGCACAACATAACACTGCACATGCCTTTCTTTTTCAGCAGCCCTGTGACAACTTAACGATTGCTCTGCTTGTTCCCAAATGAGCAAATGTGCAGAGCCAGTCTGCAGTGAAACAGGGAGTCAGGTGGCTCAAGGCAGTGAGCTGTGGATAATGGGCACCAAATTTGTTAACCAGTATTTTTCATATCTAAGTAATGCACTTTCCTCTCTGCAACCGTATTAAAATGAAGATTCTGGGAGCCTTTTTATTACCGTTATACACTGTGCACTTCACAGTGCTCTGTTTCCTAGAACAAGAAGGTATCATAAATTCTCTACTCTTTGAAAAGATCGTATAGCAAAATAATATAAGGGGATGAAATATCATTTTTCAAGTGTCTGGCAAGTATCAGTTTTCAATAAATCCTTTTCCTTGAGGAAATTTGCTTTGCATAGTTACTAATCATAGAAGTGCTCAGGCGTGTTAATGCTAAATCTTATGGTTGAGATCCCCATGGCTTGCTGAGCAAGAAGGAATCTCTATAGTGGATGCTGTTTTTATGTTGCTAGAAGTAGATATACTCCGGGAGTACATATATACAGAAATCAGAGGTTTGTGTATTCCTCTCTCATAAAATGAAGCCAAAAGCTTACAGCTGCCTTCTCCTTCTCCTAATGTCTGATCATTAGGGAAAATTCAACATTGTAGTTAGAAAAGACCAGTAATCGTATTGGTGCCTGGAGTCTGACATAGTGACAGATAAAGTAAATTCAAAAATGGTGAAAAATTAGGCTTCCAAATCCAATCACCTTATCTGGTTAAAATTGGAACTAGATCTTTGATTTACTAGATTTACAACTTCAACTGACCTTTATTTAAAATAGACTTGTATGAAGTGACGAGTCGTGTGTGTACTTTCAAAAACTGCTGTTATCAGTCTTCCCAAAATTCAATCCGACAAATTTTTCCTTGAGTGATTCTCCTTTTTAACCTGCTTTTTATGCTGTTTCTCCTTGGATGAATAGTGAGATACTTGGTACTCCCATAGCTCTTCTGGTGAGGCTACTTGGAAAATATCTCCATGGCAGATTTGCCAAGTTTAAAGTGCTTGTGTTGATTTGTAATCGTAAATTGAATCACAGTACTTAAGAGCTTAAAATAGGATCTACCAGTTATTCATTGTATACTTTTGGAGCTTGTTAGAAGCTCAAAGAAAATCCAGCAAAGCACAAACCCATACAAAGTATTTAAACAAAAACAAAGTTACTCTATAAAATGTACATGAATTCCAATATTTTTT